TTTTTGGCCTCCCTGACCCCCAAAAGTTTCGGAGCTCTCCATAATCCCCCAAATTTGGGGTTCCCCACCCTCTGAACCCCCAAATTTTGGGGTTCCCCACCCCCTGTCCCCCATTTTTAGGATCCCCATCACCTTTTTGGGGTCTCCAAACCCTTTTTAGTCTCCTTTTCTCAATTTCTCCCCAAAATTGGGGTCATCCGACCTTCCCCACCCCCCAAATTTTTTGTGCTTCCCCCTGACCCCCCAAATTTCACTTTCCTCACTCCCTGAACCCTCAGATTTTGGGGTTCCCCACCCCCTGTCCCCCATTTTTAGTGTCCCCATCTCCTTTTTTGATCTGACTTTTCTCCCTTTACCATCAAATTTCAGGGTCCCCTGAGCTTCCCCACCCCTCAAATTTTTCCTGCTTCTCCCTGACCCCCCAAATTTCACTTTCCCCCCTTCCTGAACCCCCAAATTTTGGGGTTTCTCACTCCTTTAACCCCTTTTTTGGGGTCTCCACCCCCTTTTTCGGCTCCTTTTCCCACTTTTCCCCCCAAAATTTGGGGTCATCCGACCTTCCCCACCCCCCAATTTTTTTGTGCTTCCCCCTGACCCCCCAAATTTCACTTTCCTCACCCCCTGACTCCCCAAATTTTGGGGTTCCCCACCCCCTGTCCCCCATTTTCAGGGTCCCCATCTCTTTTTTGGGGTCTCCACCCCCATTTTGAGCCTCCTTTTCCCACTTTTCCCCCAATTTTTAGGGGATGCTGGGATTCTCAGGAAAATCCCAAAATTCCTGAGAAAATCCCAAACTCCTGAGCTGAGTCAGCCCCGAGTGATCCTGGTTCCTGACAAAGTTATTGGAGCCTTTTATGGAATGTGATCACCCCAAAACCCAGAAAATTCTCAAAAAAAACCCAAAAATGGGGAATTTGGGAATGTCAAGGTAGCCAAAATCCCAGAATTCCTGGTGGGGAGGGTGAAATTCCCAAGAAAATCCCAAACTCCTGAGCTGAGTCAGCTCTGAGTGATCCCGGTTTCTGGAGAGGTTCTTGGAGCCTTTTATGGGGTCTGATTCCCCCAAAAACGCCAAAAACCTGTACACACCCGTACTCACCTGTGCACATCTGTCCGTCCACCCACAACATGGACGTGCCCAACATCAAACGGAACGACTTCCAGGTGAGCTCACCTGGGACAGGTAACACACCTGTAACACACCCGTAACACACCTGATACACACCTGTAACACACCTGTGCACACCTGTAACACACCTGGGGATGCTCCTGTTCCTGCCTGTCCGTTGTGCAGTCGGTGCTGCGGGGTTACCTGTGCCTTTCACCTGTCCCACCTGTGTCTCACCTGTGTCTCACCTGTGTCTCACCTGTGTCTCACCTGTCTCACCTGTACAGCTCAGTGACACCCAGCACGGGTACCTGTGTGCGTTACCTGTCCGTACCTGTGTGTCACCTGTGCACACCTCTGTCTCTCACCTGTGTCTTACCTGTCTCACCTGTACAGCTCATTGGGATCCAGCACGGGTACCTGTGTGTGTTACCTGTGCACACCTGTGCCTCTCACCTGTGCACACCTGTCTCACCTGTACAGCTGATCGGGATCCAGGACGGGTACCCAAAAATATCCTGAAATTACCCCAAAAATATCCTCAAATCAGCCTGAAATTATCCTGAAAATATCTCAAAAATACCCTGAAAATATCTCCAAAAATGTCCTGGAATTACCCCAAAAATCCCCCCAAACCCCCGCGGCCTGGCAGCCCCGGATCACGTTCTTGGTGCCTGAAATCACCCCAAATCACCCCAAAATTATCCCCAAATCATCCTGAAATTATCCCAAAAATTAACCCAAAATATCCTGAAATTATCCCAAAAATTAATCCAAAAATATCCTGAAATTACCCCAAAAATATCCTCAAATCAGCCTGAAATTATCCTGAAAATATCTCAAAAATACCCTGAAAATATCTCCAAAAATGTCCTGGAATTACCCCAAAAATCCCCCCAAACCCCCGCGGCCTGGCAGCCCCGGATCACGTTCTTGGTGCCTGAAATCACCCCAAATCACCCCAAAATTATCCCCAAATCATCCTGAAATTATCCCAAAAATTACCAAGAAAATACCCTAAATAATATCCTGAAAATATCCTAAAGATGTCTCCAAAGTACCTCAGAAATATCCCGAAAATATATTAAAAAAATCCTGAAATTATCCTGAAAATATCCTCAAATTATCCCCAAAAATATCCGAAAAATATCCTGGAATTACCCTGAAATAATTCCCAAATTATCCCAAGAATATCCCAAAAATTATCCCAAAATATCCTGAAATTTTTCCAAAAATTAACCCAAAAATACCCTGAAGTTATCCTAAAAATATTCTGAAATTGCCCCAAAATTATCCCAAAAAATCCCCCAAAGAAGCCCCAGTCCCTCCCAATCCCCTCCCAGTCCCTCCCAGTTCCCTCCCAGTCCGTCCCAGTCCCCTCCCAGTCCCTCCCAGTCCGTCCCAATCCCCTCCCAGTTCCCTCCCAGTCCCTCCCAGTCCCTCCCAGTCCCCTCCCAGTCCCCCCCAGTCCCTCCCAGTAACCCCAGTTCCCCCAGGTGCACCTGGTGGGCATCGACATCTTCACGGGCAAGAAGTACGAGGACATCTGTCCGTCCACCCACAACATGGACGTGCCCAACATCAAACGGAACGACTTCCAGGTGAGACACACACCTGAGACAGGTAAAACCTGTAACACACCTGTACTCACCTGTACACACCTGAGACACACCTGGGACACACCTGTGCACACCTGTGCACACCTGGGACACACCTGTACATACACCTGTAACACCTGTACACACCTGAGATACACCTGTACAGGTAACACACACCCCTGTACACACCTGTGCACATCTGTCCGTCCACCCACAACATGGACGTGCCCAACATCAAACGGAACGACTTCCAGGTGAGACACACACCTGGGACAGGTAACACACCTGAGATACACCTGTACAGGTAACACACACCCCTGTACACACCCGTACTCACCTGTGCACATCTGTCCGTCCACCCACAACATGGACGTGCCCAACATCAAACGGAACGACTTCCAGGTGAGACACACACCTGGGACAGGTAACACACCTGTAACACACCCGTAACACACCTGATACACACCTGTAACACACCTGTGCACACCTGTAACACACCTGGGGATGCTCCTGTTCCTGCCTGTCCGTTGTGCAGTCGGTGCTGCGGGGTTACCTGTGCCTTTCACCTGTCCCACCTGTGTCTCACCTGTGTCTCACCTGTGTCTCACCTGTGTCTCACCTGTCTCACCTGTACAGCTCAGTGACACCCAGCACGGGTACCTGTGTGCGTTACCTGTCCGTACCTGTGTGTCACCTGTGCACACCTCTGTCTCTCACCTGTGTCTTACCTGTCTCACCTGTACAGCTCATTGGGATCCAGCACGGGTACCTGTGTGTGTTACCTGTGCACACCTGTGCCTCTCACCTGTGCACACCTGTCTCACCTGTACAGCTGATCGGGATCCAGGACGGGTACCTGTCACAGATGATGGGTTACCTGTGCACACCTGTGTCTCTCTCACCTGTAGCTGATCGGGATCCAGGACGGGTACCTGTGTGTCCATGGGTTACCTGTGCACACCTGTCTCACCTGTACAGCTCATTGGGATCCAGGACGGGTACCTGTGTGTCCATGGGTTACCTGTACACACCTGTGTCTCACCTGTCCATACCTGTGTGTCTCACCTGTACAGCTCATTGGGATCCAGGATGGGTACCTGTCACTGATGATGGGTTACCTGTGCACACCTGTCTCACCTGTACAGCTCATTGGGATCCAGGACGGGGACCTGTGTGTCCATGGGTTACCTGTACACACCTGTGTCTCACCTGTCCATACCTGTGTGTCTCACCTGTACAGCTCATTGGGATCCAGGATGGGTACCTGTCACTGATGATGGGTTACCTGTGCACACCTGTCTCACCTGTACAGCTCACCTGTCTCACCTGTAGCTGATCGGGATCCAGGACGGGTACCTGTCAGTGATGATGGGTTACCTGTGTGTGTTACCTGTGCACACCTGTACACACCTGTATTTCTCTCACCTGTACAGCTCATTGGGATCCAGGACGGGTACCTGTGTGTGTTACCTGTCCATACCTGTATCTCACCTGTACACACCTGTCTCTCTCACCTGTCTCACCTGTAGCTCATTGGGATCCAGGACGGGTACCTGTGTGTGTTACCTGTGCACACCTGTCTCACCTGTCTGTACCTGTACAGCTCATTGGGATCCAGGACGGGTACCTGTCAGTGATGATGGGTTACCTGTCTGTACCTGTCTCACCTGTGCACACCTGTGTCTCACCTGTAGCTCATTGGGATCCAGGACGGGTACCTGTCAGTGATGATGGGTTACCTGTCTGTACCTGTCTCACCTGTGCACACCTGTGTCTCACCTGTAGCTCATTGGGATCCAGGACGGGTACCTGTCAGTGATGATGGGTTACCTGTCTGTACCTGTCTCACCTGTGCACACCTGTGTCTCACCTGTAGCTCATTGGGATCCAGGACGGGTACCTGTCAGTGATGATGGGTTACCTGTCTGTACCTGTCTCACCTGTGCACACCTGTGTCTCACCTGTAGCTCATTGGGATCCAGGACGGGTACCTGTCAGTGATGATGGGTTACCTGTGCACACCTGTCTCACCTGTCTCACTTGTCTCACCTGTACACAGCTCATTGGGATCCAGGACGGGTACCTGTGTGTGTTACCTGTCCATACCTGTATCTCACCTGTCCATACCTGTCTCACCTGTGCACAGCTCATTGGGATCCAGGACGGGTACCTGTCGCTGCTCCAGGACAGCGGCGAGGTGCGGGAGGATCTGCGGCTGCCGGAGGGGGAGCTGGGCCGGGAGATCGAGCAGAAATACGACTGCGGCGAGGAGATCCTGGTACTGGTTATACTGGTTATACTGGGTTGTACTGGTTATACTGGTTATACTGGGTTATACTGGTTATACTGGTTATACTGGGGGAGCTGGGCCGGGAGATCCTGGTACTGGTTATACTGGGTTATGCTGGTTATACTGGGTTATATCAGTCTGAACTAGTCTGTACTGGTCTGTACTAGTGTGTACTGGTTTATACTGGTCTATACCAGTCTGTACTGGTCTGTACTGGTTTATACTGGTCCGTTCCGGTCCATACTGGTCCATACCAGTCTATACCAGTCCATACTGGTTTATACCAGTCCATACCGGTCCATACTGGTCCACACTGGTCCATACTGGTCCGTACTGGTTTGTACTGGTCCGTACTGGTTTAATACCGGTCCATACTGGCCCGTACTGGTTGTCACTGGTCCATACTGGTCTGTACTGATCCATACCGCTTTATACTGGTCCATACTGGTTCATACTGGTCTGTACTGGTCTGTACTGGTTTATACTGGTCCATACCAGTCCATACTGGTCCGTACTGGTCCGTACCGCTTTATACTGGTCCATACCAGTCTGTACTGGCCAATACTGGTTTGTACTGGCCCGTACTGGTCCATACTGGTTTGTACTGGTCCGTACCGGTCCATACTGGTCAGTCCATACCAGTCCGTACTGGTTCACACCGGTCCGTACC